CCGCACTGTTTCTGCTATGTTCTTCTATCATCCAGAACAACAAACGTATCAATGGATTTGTTTGCCGTCGAGTTATTAACGAAACAGAAAGTCGATGAAGTTTGTTTACAAGATTACAGCTCTGGAGAGCATTTTGTGTGGTCGTTGGGGGCGTGTGGTTCTGAATATGGCGTTGAGTGTACAAAATGTCACGCAATTGCATCCTCCCTATTCGCACACGCCCGAAGATTGGAGGCGAATGCCACTTCGACTTGTTTCGTCTACTAACGATTCCCTGATGATTGTGTTGGGAAAGCAGCATAACATGTGCGTTATTGGTGGATTTTTTTTAGATATTTCAACGCTTTTGAACAATACTTGATATTTGACGCTTTTCAATAGTTTCTTGTTAAAAATCATTGCTATCGATGCGTCGAAATATTTCTGCTCGATTGGTGATAAAATTATTGAAATTGGTCCAGGGGCAGCTGAGTTATTTACGTTTAAAATCTTTCATAACTTTGTTACATGTTCTATTTTCGGTTTTCACAAAGTGTACCCCCATATAGAAATCACAGACGTAGTCCTACGTTAAAACAAAAAAAAACGAAGCAGACTGTAATGCAACCAAGGATGCTGATACTACGGGGCCCGTGACTTAATCACTCGTTTGTTAACGCTTGGAAAATGAGACGCATAAAATCTACCTCGTATGCTAGCAATCCTACAGCGCTACAGCTGTAGAAAAACCGCACTTTCGGAGAAGCAAAAGAGAAAGAGAGAAAGAAACTTAACACCGTTGGAGCGGCAGCTCTCCAACACATGAAGAATGAAAAAATGTGCTGCACGATTTAAAATTCTCTTTCCCGTCTCTTTGGAAATTATAGTGTTGGCTCGCAACAGCGTGTGCTTTACTCGCAGAAAATTGAGTAACACCCGACCCCTGGTTTAGACTAGATTTGCGGATGTCAAACATGTGTTAATTGCGACCCACTTTTTTTTTTTTATTCCATCAGCTCGCAACCCATCAATATTTTCTTTAAAAAAAACCCTGAGAACTCCTAGATAGTTATGACTACAATTCCAAGACAATTCTGAATGATGTCCAAGAAAATTCTTTGGAACTTTGAGATTTATTGAGTATAGTAAGAAAATATTGATTTCAAGAGTTTCCTTGAGGGGATTCCTAATGTGGTATGCAGAGAATGTCTAAGACTCTTATGCACAAAAATTCCAAGAGTATGCCACAGAGAATCATAAAATTATTCAGGGGAATCCTGAAAGCAACTCTTAAGACATCTTGGGATGATTCTAAGGGTATTCTTGAAAAAAAAAATCGATAGATATCCTTGGAAGAGTTATCTTCTAGAAATCAAGAAATTGTCTATATCAGCTCCAGCAATGGGTCACAACCCATTGATGGGTCACCAGCTATCTTCAGATAAATCACAGGAATCAAGACAACTCAATCACACGTTTTTTAAAGTGTATGTAAAATTTATCTCAATTCAACATCTCTTAGAGATTATAAAAATTGGCCTTCATTCGAGCTTCATTTTTAATTCTTGGCTGTTAAAAAAATTACAATTTCAAATTAATTGAAAATATCAGCGCACATACAGAATGTGTCAAAATTCCAAATGTTTACAATTTTTAATGTAATATTTTTAGAAAAATCAAAACGAGCCGTTTTTCCGTTGAAGATTGACAGCGACTGGTTCCATTTTGTTCGTAACGGAGTGCCGTACACTGTTAAACTTTATCCCGATCGGGCATGCGAATCCGGAGATATGGCTAAAAATGTGAAATCTAATAACACTTATTTTTTCGATAAAGTAACCATTGTATGTTTTATAACTATAATCAACTCTTCCTAAATCGATATCTGTGGCTAGCTTTTGCATCCTGTTAGAGGAAATATCAAGTAAAAGAGAGGGAGAGAGCGTTACTTGGGACTGCAATCAATATTCCCATAATAGATTTACACAGCATAGTGACACCCAATCATTGGAAAATGCATGCCTCACCCCACTGATGGGTAGAAAGTCAAGTACTTCCAAATAGCTCCTAATAGGTAATTGCTCCAACACTCACCATGGGCAATGATTCACAATTTTGTCAAAAATCTTGAGGCGAACCAGCCCCAGGCTGAAAGCCTCCCTAATAAAGATAAATCAATCAATCAATTTTGCCAAAATTCTGCCATTTTGGATCTTCTAAAGTTTTCATAACAGCGTCCTTAAAATTTTTCGAAAAATTGTATCACGGTAACGGCAATTCTGATCGCAATGAAGTCTGAGGTAAAATTATAGAGAAAAGTAACCTACCAAGATTTTTCTAAAATATTAAAACAAATAGATTTTGATACCATTCGTATTTGTACCATGCTATGGTCCATATAGCCATATTTAAAAACAAATCTGTATTTATACAAAAAATTGTATTTTTTTTTTCAAAGTATTCCATTAGATTACCCTATGCCTAGAAACGGATAATGTGATTCGAATCAAGTCGATAGGTTGTATCGTTATCGAGAAATCGTTACAAACGTACCGTGTAAAAGGCACCAACCGTGTGTATAAAAAAAAACCGTGTTAACAAGACTTGAGTGTATCTCAAAATGTCCTTAACCGATTTTTCTGTTTTTCTTTCTTTAAAAATAGCTTATGAAAAATGCAAACTTTTGAAATGTTCAAAACCATGCACAAACTGATAAAAATCATAGAACAAAAACTACAAGGGACAGCCCTATGAGGTTGTACGGTTGTCTTATATAATAAATCTCATTTGTTAACCGCAGCAGCTGTTTATACTCTTTAGTATGACGCGCTTGACATAGATGGCCCAGAGCGACTCACGAAGAGCTACCGATTCCGATCAATAGCGGTGCGGCTTCTTCCTCTTTCTATGGATGCTCATCTGGGCTGCAGCTCGCTGCTTGCAGGCAGCCTTTCGTTGTGTACTGGAGAACATCACCACTCATCACGCGGTGATTGAACAAACACCGTTTGGAGAGACCGGATGGAATTCAACTTTGAAATCTGTGTTAGGGAGATCGCTTTTCGCAGGCAATCTGTGGTAATTTTAACTATTATAGCAACAGTTGCACATTTGTGCAATTTTCAATAGTGACATTTTGAAAAATGATAAATTCTTACAACAAACAAATGCGTAGAAACATTTCAGATCGATTGGTGATAAAATTATTGAAATTGGTCCAGCGGCAGCTGAGTTAGTAACGTTCAAAATCTTTCATTATTTTGTTACATGTTCCATTTTCGGTTTTCACAAAGTGTACCCCCATATAGAGATCACAAACGTAGTCCTGCGTCAAAAAAACATTTGGTCAAATTTTCGAACTTTTTGTTAAAGAGAACTGTATTTTTTTTCCACAGAAAATGTCACAAACATTGTTTTCTGAACATAAATTACACGAAAAAACGTTTGAACTAAAAATTCTACAATTTTAGTCAATTTTAAAAGTCCATAATTTCAAACTATCGACAGGTTTTTATTTTTCATGAGCTTTTTTTTAATTTTAAATTCAATAATCTGACAAGTACATTTTGAGATATTTTGGTATTTATTTTTCTTTAAATTTTAACTTGAAATTTCTTAAAACATTTGTTTGTATATTTTTCTCAGAAAAAAACAATTCTTCTCTACAACTTGGTCTCAGACGTCATTACGATCAGAAAAGTCGTGTCTATTCCACACTATTTTGAAAAATTTCAATGGCGCCATTTTGAAAATGTTACAGGATCCAAACATAGGATGAATTATTGCCCATAGCAAACAATTCCGCACGGAGAAGGTCCAGTTTTTCCGATTCGTCATTCACAACGGTCTGCCACATGGAATTCTGCCACTATATCGTTAGAAAATCTAATAAAACTAATGAACTATTTTCGACAATGCCTATTTGGGGCCTCCTGATAGCCAAGTCTGTATGCCCACAGAGTTCCCCTGCTTAAGGGTACGAAATTTTCCCCGAATGTAAAATATTTCCTGAGTCAAAGAACACTCGGCTGAGTGCATTCTTTGGAACATTCGTTTTCGAATGATCCGACAGAAGTATAAAGAAAGCCACCACTACTGAAAAGGACGCAATTCTTCGCATAAGGTGTCACCTTTGCAAAAGGACACTTTTTGTGGAGGTGTTTGCCACACTTGACATGACGAGGAAGGCGGCTACTTGTTGCCTTGTCACGATTCATGTTTTTCTTTCGGCCCAAGGTGTATGATACGGGAAATCTCTCCTGTGGGCGGGTTGCCGTGCCCTCTCCGAGAGCAAAAATTGAATCAAATTGAATTAGGTTCGAATTAGTGGATCCCGTGATGCGTGGTGCGGACTTGGAGTAATTGGGTTTAGCGGGAAAAACGAGGAGTGCGTTTGTGTGGGTGAGAGAACGCTGGAAGGTGCAAAACTCATTAAAATCGGCTTGGAGCGGCATAAGATGGGTGTTGTGCATAGATTGAAGGATTTTGAGGATGAAAATCGGTTTGAGTGGTTTTCAGATTCCTCCGACGATGTTTGTTTGACCTCTATTCAGCCTTAAAGCCTACATGTCCAACACCTGTAGATAGGTGAAGCTTCATCACAGAAACAGAACGATATGACGGAGTCATAAGCGAGCAGAAAGTTAATTACTAGCCGGAAGCAATGACTTTTTTATTTCCCTAGAGCCTAGAGGGCCATTCATTCTGGCATTCATGCACAGCCATTCATGATAACCTACATTGGTTGGACTCGATATGACCGGAATTTGATCTCTCTCTCGCTGTCATTCGTTGACCCCCGGTTCGACACCTTTTCGTTTCGATGTGGGACAGCAGCCTCGTGGGAGCAGTTTGGGGGTGGCAGACCCGTGCCAAAGGTCATTAAAGATTCAACACGATTTCTAAATCAAGTGAAAGCTGGACTGTTGATAAATAAAACATCCATTCAACGGATCGCTTTTGATGTGTCAGTATGGAAGTTTAACGTTTCTTTTTTTTTATTTCTCTACCCCCTTTTGCAGACCATGGACTTCACACCGCTGCCGTCGGAGCTGGAGGAGCTGATTTTGTGCAGCTGCTGTCACCTGCCGTTCAACGATACGGATGCGATACCGAAGCTATTTTCCTGTCGACACTACTTCTGTCTGAAATGCGTCAACCAGGTCCTGATGAAGGGCACCGAGCTGTACTGCGTGCACTGCTGGAAGCGAACGGAGCTCAGCGGTCCGGATATGAAGCCGGAAAACCTACCGACGCATAATGCGATCCTATACCTGTCGCAGAACTTGAGTATGATTTCGAGTGGAAGTGCTAGCGGCACTGCTGTCGGGGGTGGAACCGGTGCTGGAAGTGTCAACGGTGGTGGCAATAAAAAGCCTCCCGACAAGAGCGGAACGAACGGAACTACGGTCACGAGTAATGCTTTGAGTGGAGGAGGCAGCAGTGGAACCGGTACAGCAGGCGTAACGAACGGAAGTTCCGCTGCTAACGGTAACATCGGATTAGGTAGTAATAGTGCGAATACGGGTGGTGCCGGAGCGATCGGTTCGGGAAAATATAGAAATAAGGGCGAAAACTGTATGACACACGCGATGCCGAATGCATTGTGGTGTCTCAAGTGTAACATAATCCTATGCCGGGCATGTGCCAGCACGGAAGAACATCGGAATCACACGGTGAAGACCCAAGCGGAGGCACGCGATCAGATCCGGTCGGATATCGCCTCGGATCTGCTGCTGATGCAGAAGTCTCTCTCGGAGTTGCAGCATTTCGTTTTCAAGCAACGTGATTTCCTGCTCAAAATCCTCGAAGCCTGCACGGCCCTGAAGACCCAGGTCGAAACGGAACTGATCAACCATCTGCCGACGTTCGAAGTGGCAGAAATACGAAGTAATCTTACGAAAGCGAAACTATTTCTTAGCATGCTCGACCAGCAATCCCCAGCGGATGCGTACAAGCTGTACGCCAATCTGAATATCGAAAAACAACGTCTGCAGTCCAAGTACCAGGAGATGTATCTGCAGTGCAAGCTAGACGATCTAATACAACACTACGGAATACTGTTTGACTTCGAGTTGATCAAACAGGCGCTGTCGAATCTGAACACAATCGATCCGATTTCGTTCGGAAACGGTGCCATTGGTGGACTGGGACTTACCACCGGCGGTACCACCCTCAATGGGCATCACAATTCCATACTGCTACTTGCCAATTACTGTATTTCGCAACTGTATTCACGTCACATTCTAACCACCAAACATCACCACCAACAACAGCATCAACAGTCGCAGCATATCGATCACTCTACCCTAAGCTACGCCATATCATCACCCTCGCAGACGGCATCCGGAGTAGGGCTCCCGAATTCGCCGAACCACCCGGGAATCTTAGCAGGACCCCCGGGCATGCCGCAACCTTCACACTCCGGAACCTATGCAAGTCAATTGAACGATATGGCGGCGATCATGATTGCACCTCCGATGCATCAAATGGGCAGTCGAACTGATGGGACCAATTCGGCACGTACGTCCGGTTCCGGATCGACATACCTGAGCGAAATTCTCAACGGTAGCGCCATGCAGCATTTGCATCAACATTCCGGTTCTTCCCAGCATCAACCCCTGACGCCTCCGGGCCACCCTCTATCGTCGTCTTCTTCCAGCGTGGTATCGCTCGTTCCTTCCACGGCGCAGCAGCAGGTTCAGAAGCAGGTCCAAGCGGCCGCTGTTGCATCCTCCCTGCTCTGCAACCCGTCGCTACACGTCTATCCGATCTACTTCTTCAACATCGAAATCAACGGTCAACCGTTCGGCCGGGTTTTGATCGAAGTCCGCAACGACGTGGCACCCAAGATGGCGAAGAACTTCGGGGCGCTCGCTTCCGGCGATCTGGGATTCGGCTACAAGGGCTGCAGCATCTTCCAGTGCTGGGAGAACGAGAGCATTATCACCGGGGACTTTGAGCTGAACAATGGCCGCGGCGGACGGTCCGTGTTCGAGGAGGGATTCTTCATGCCGGACGACACGAAGATTCTGGCGATCCGCGGTTCGGTTGGGATGCGCCGCAGCCAGAAGCGCCACGACAACATGGGCCTGGTCGGGTCGCAGTTTCGCATCATTCTGCGGGAGATGCGCGGATTCACCGGGATCTTTGCGTTCGTCGTGGAAGGCTTGGATCTGGTGGAGAAGATCAGCCAGGCCGGCGATTCGGCCGGCAAACCGCAGAGCAACGTACTGATTGTCAACTGTGGTAAATGGCAGTAGGTGGTGGCCGGGGCCGGCGATAGGCAGGGAGAAAGAGAGAGCGACAGACAGAACGGTGAGAGGGTTTCGACTTTTGCGTTAATTATTGGGGGGGAACCTAACTTTTTGGTTTTGTTTTCGATTGTCCTTGTATCGTGTATTGAGGTATATGATTATTTTTTTTTATAGATGAAATGCATAGCTAGAAGCAGGCTGTTGTTAGTTTTTACAGTTTTAGAATATTAACTAGTTTCGGTATTAGAGCTTTTAGTTGTTAAGGGCGTTACATACATACATTATTTGCAACAACTCTGCTGTGGTAGACGGAACCCTGGAGCCGCGCACGGGCGGGCTTCATGATGGGTGATAGGTTAGAAAAGAGGCATACATAACGGGGGGAAATGGAGTGTCTCATTTGTGGTAGACAGTTTTCTGGTGTAATCCAAACTGGCATTAATCTTTGAATGAAAAGTTGATGTAAATCATAGGAAATACAAATCCGGTTGACAGGAATTAGATAATGTTCAGCAAATTTTCAACATGAGTCAAGCGTAATCCGATAGTCCGTGAACTCGATTTAGAGTTGTCAAAAACAATTTAATCTACACGCTGACTTGAAAGCAGCCATTAATGAGTAGAATTTCACCCATTTCTAAGTAAAGTGGCTTAACACAATAATTAGTTAAACTTTTACGCAGTCAATGAAATTTTACACGTTAATGGGACTATCAAGTTACCGTGTATCAAATCTAGGCCAACATAAAAAGGGGCGGAACAGCCAAACGTAAACAATTATGTTAAACGTCGTTTCTTTATGATTAAGTCACATCCAGTCAATCCAGTATCTGCATCTGGTACAGGAAGTTTGCTCTGTCAAGTAGTGTAGTTAGTTTGCGTGAATATGTTTTGATCCTGCAGAAATTGGCGTTTAAAATCATTGTTTACTTTTGGTTGTTCGACCCCTTTCCCAATGTTGTCTAAACAATAACGTATCGGGAACAGAAAACCGTCTACGTAATTTGTACATGCTAATAGTTTCACAGATCCGCCTGTTTCGGTCCTTGATCCGGTTTTCTCCCTTCGTGCGTCCCTGGCAATGAACATGAATACCGTCAATATCCGGTTTCCGGAGCTAGACGTATGTTTTGCTTGCAAGTATTGCTGACAGCATCTGTCAAATGATGGGCTACCGTACAGTCGTTCATGTAAGAGTGCACGAAAGAACTCGCCATCTTAGTTATGTGACAGCAGTAGTATGGAAAAAAAATCTATGTAAACAACAGCGTTGCCAGATATATCAATTTTCAAACTTAAGACCGATATACAGATAAGGTTTCTCAGAATTCCGATTTTTGAGATTTTATACCGGTTTAAACCATTTTTTTTTTAAATAATCAAACTGGTTATTACCTTTACGCAGAGAAAACTATTGTGAGAGACTGCTTTCTTTTGGAATATCTCAATATTTTTGAACCTGCTCAATTATTCATCTCTAAAAATGTTTTATGCTTGATACTGTTTTCGACTAATGTTGCCATTTCCACGCCGTTTTCGGCTACCAAGGAGTGGGAAAACAGCTGATCTATCATCCCGGTAAATCCAAAATGTTAATTTTTCAACTATCTGAAGTTTTATAAATCTTCCTTTGGAGGGTCGTTCCAACTTTCTTAGGAATTGTGTTCCCTCTTACCCCACAAGTTGTTTTTGGTTTTCTCCAGAAAAGTTATTTCGACTTCCCTTGGAAGCTTCTTCCGGCTTCGCTTGAAAGTTTCTTCCGTCTTCTCTTGTCAGTTTTTTTGTCTTAAACTTTCCTGGAATTTCAGGAATGCTTCCAGAGGTTTTTTTTAGCTCCATTAGCTTCAGGAGAATTGCAGGGATTTTTTTTAGATGTTCAAAAACTTCCGACTATTGGGCAAGTTTAAAGATCTGTAAGGGTGAGGTCCGATTAAAGACTGCTTCATTAACTTCTGTTAAAATTCGAGAATCTGGGAATTTCAGGAAAGTCCAGAGAACTCTAGTGCACTTTAGGAAATATTTGGGAAACTTCAAAAGTCCAAAGAACTTAAGGGAAATTTAATGGTTTTCATGGGAGTTGCATTTGTTTCTGGAGAATTGAGATAACTTTAGGGAAGTTGAGGACAGATCGATTGATTTCAAAGAAATTGTTGAAACTTTTATTAGAGTTCCGAGGATTTAAGGGGAAGTTTCGTGCATTTTAACGGCAGATTTGAGATCTTTAAAAAAAAAAACATTAAAATTCTGGAAGATCAGCGAACTTCAATGCTGATGTTAGAATGATTTCAATAAAATTGTGAAACCACTGAAAAAGTTCCGAATTCTTTAGGGAAGTCCGGAGACCTTCAAACAAGATTAGAGATTTTCCGGTCATTTAATTATAATCAGGGAAGTTCCGAGTACTTAAAGGGGACTATCAGAGAACTTCAAAACAGCTCCATTAACTTCAGGAAAATTGCAAGAACTTTCAAGGAGTTCCCACGATTTGCGGAATGTTCTGAAAGCTTCAGGGACATTGCAGGGTTTTCAGGCATGTTTTACGAATATCAGGAAAATTGCTGGATCATTAGGACATGTAAGGAGCTTCAGGTAATATTGTGCTAAATTATTCAAGAAATCACTTTCTTCCGGAATTTTTCCCAAACTTCTCCCTTTAGCTTCCGGCTTTCTCAATAAGTTTATTCCTATCTACATAGCAATTTTTTCCGTCTTCTCCAGGAAGTTCAATTAAAGTTTCTGTCGACTGTGGCTTCCGACTTTCTCCAGACGTTTTTTTCGTCTTCTCCAGGAAGTTCAATTAAAGTTCTACCGGATGTATCTATTGTGTTCTCCTAGATGCTTGTTTCGATCCAACTTCTCCTTGAAGTTTCTGTCGACTGTTCCGTACGCCCTCTGGCTTCCGACTTTCTCCAGAAGTTTTTTCCGTCTTCTCCAGGAAGTTCAATTAAAGTTCTACCGGATGTATCTATCGAGTTCTCCCAGAAGTTTCTGTCGACGCAACTTCTCCTTGAAGTTTCTGTCGACTGTTCCGTACGCCCTCTGGCTTCTGACTTTCTCCAGAAGTTTCTTCTGTCTTCTCCAGGAAGTTCAATTAAAGTTCTACCGGATGTATCTATTGAGTTCTCCTAGATGCTTGTTTCGATCCAACTTCTCCATGAAGTTTCTGTCGACTGTTTCGTACGCCCCCTGGACTCCGAGTTCCTCCAGAAGTTTTTTCCGTCCTCTCTAGGAAGTTCAATTCAAGTTCTACCGGATGTATCTATCGAGTTCTCCCAGATGTTTCTGTCGACCCAACTTCTCCTTGAAGTTTCTGTTGACTGTTCTGTAAGCCCTCTGGCTTCCGACTTTCTCCAGAAGTTTCTTCCGTCTTCTCCAGGAAGTTCAATTAAAGTTCTACCGGATGTATCTATTGAGTTCTCCTAGATGCTTGTTTCGATCCAACTTCTCCTTGAAGTTTCTGTCGACTGTACCGTACCCCCTCTGGCTTCTGACTTTCTCCAGAAATTTCTTCCAGCATTTTCATAAAGTTTCTTCCGTTTTTTCCAGGAAGTTCAATTACAGTTCTTCGTCCCACCTTCTCCTTGAAGTTTTTGTTGACCTTGCCGTAAGCTCTCTGGCTTCCGACTTTCTCCAGGAAGTTCAATTAAAGTTCTACCGGATGTATCTATCGAATTCTCCCAGAAGTTTCTATCTTTTTCTTCTGGAAGTTTCTCCATAAGCCGTTCTCCGTAGATTTTATTTTCGACTTCTATTGGAAGGTTTTTCCGAGCTTCTTCTGATTTCCCCTGGAAATGACTACTCCTGGAATTTCCTTTCATTTCTGATTTTTTTTCTGGCATTCTCTGGATGTGTCATCAGAAGTTTTTTTTTATATATTTGTCTTGGAAGTTCTCCGGATGTTTGTCCGACTTTTCTTAGAACTTTATTTAGAAGAGCTTCTTTAATTTTCCTCTGGAAGTTTTTCGGCTTTCTTCAGAAGCTTATTCAAAAATTCCCTGGATTTTTTTTCCCGACCTCTCCTGAAAAGTAAATTTTTCGTTCATAGTTCAAAATTTTGAGTTTTCGCCTTTATAAACAGCAAAAATATAAAATTAATTATAATAGTGTGCACCGATAAGTACCGATTTTTTTAAACATTTGAAACCGATAAGCTTGAAAATCTGACAACGCCGGTAAATAATTCGGGAAGACGATTTTTTTTCGATTTGATCTCATAAAGTTCGATCAAGCTCTGAAACTTGGCGTCCCGGATCGTTTTCTGGAAGATGCCATGGAAGTAGTGTCACACACAATGACTAACTTTTCAAGCCAGTTTAGATGAATATTGCGCTTGACGAATTGACGAGTCTTCTTTTTTTTCTTCCTCGCATTTGGCATATTAGCTTATTGCGTGCTCTCAACTTAGTGCACTTACACAGTTATTAATTGAGAGCTTTTGATGCCTGTATTATTTTTGCATTAGTATAATTATGTGGCAAGTACAATCATACTCTATGCCCAGGGAAGTCGAGAAATTTTCCAGCCCAAAAAATTCCTAGACTGGACCGGGAATCGAACCTAGCCACCTCCAGCATGGTCTTGCTTTGTAGCTGTGCCTTTACCGACTGAGCTAAGGGAGGTCCCAAGGACGAGTGCACCGATGTATTAGAGAAAAAAAAAGTGTTTGGACAGCGGGGTCTTGTTTACCAGAAATTAACATTTTCTTGAGTTAATAGTCAAAACGTTATAACTGCTTTTGTAAACAATGACTTCAAACATCGATTGGTCGAAAAATCTAGCTCATGCATACAATCCCATAGGGAAAAAAGAAAGGGAAGCGTTTGGGCTGTCAGTTGGTATGTTTGGCATTTTTGGCGGTCATATTGAAATTAGCCGCCATGTTGGATTTTTTCTCGAAGAAATGAGTTTTTCATAAGCTCAACTCCCACCAATTTAAAAACTAAATTAAAATTCCACCCATCAATGGGTACAAGTTAGAGTGCAATTCATTGACATTCCTATACCAACCATCAGAGATTGACAATAGCTTTGTTCGATGACCTAGGTGCCACGGACTCACTCAATATGCTTGTCAGATGGGAGCCAATGTTTGACAGGGAGTCAAACATTCAGAGCCACAAATGTAGTTACTTTTCGCTTTTACCGCCGAGTATTGGCATCTCTAATTCATTTATTATAGTTTTTCGTAACACTATTTAATCGTGAGCTCAACGGCAGAACCCAAGTTTTGATGAATCAGCAAAGTTTTCAATTCTAATAAAACATACTCTGGCAAAATATTAATGAAAACAAACTTTATTAGAGTCATGTGTGCTCGAGCACTTAAGGCTTAAAGCTTTTAACGGGATTCAACATTTTTCCATTTTCTTACAAAAAAAAATCATTTAGTCCGCAGCACCAGCGCCATGACCTAGCTGGTACTCGCTCGAAGTTGCCCATACCTTACTAGTGATTTGTTGTCAACAAATAGCTGTCAGCTTACTTCGAGCTGGTTCGAATTGCTGGTTTCAATGATTTAACCCGTTAGACCCGATGTGCAATGTTCTTAATTTTTACGACAACAATCTTTCCAATTGGAAGTAGAAACGGTTGTCTCTTCTTCTTGTATGAAATCCCCCGCATTCGTTTAACGAATCTCGGGAAATTTGAAAAAGATGTCAAAATCAAGTGGATATCAGACTGATAGTGACAGCCGACTCGCTTTTGGCGTTCATTTAGCCGATTCGAGCTACTTCGAGTTGCGTGTACTGCTGTTAATTCAGAAGACAAATCATTAACTAGCGAACGCACCACGGAATAAAAATACCCATCTTCCTTCGGTTGCTGAACGATTGTAAATTCTTCCGAGCAACTGACTGTGCACGAAGAGCCGGACGCTGACATCAGTAGAGTAGCACGAAACAGGCGAGAAACTGGAAGAATATGAAAAACGCTCTGCATCGATTTCAAACACGGTTGGGAACGGGTCTACTTGAGGCTCAGCGATATAATCAACATTTATTAAACGTCAAATGAGATTACGCCAACCACGTTCAATCGCAAATGGGACACACCAACCGGGCAGGCAAAGTCGTTTCCGTAGTTAAGTATTTCTGAAAGAACTGTTCCAGTCAAACTGGATTATTGCTTCTCTTCGAGCAGAAACAGATTAAATCGCATTTCTCGCAAAGTAAACAAGTAATTTATATAATCAAAAAGAAGAAGAAAATTTTGCTGTTGAGGTTTAAAACCAACCTTTCCTAGTGTTAACGAACAACAAGCGAATGGGATTTGGATACCAAATAATCTAAACTATATATTTAAAACAAAAATGAGCAACGGATGGATCGCTCGCTTAGTAAAAATGTATATCATATTAAAAAAAAAAACG